AATTTATTGTAAGAATAAAAGAAAACAAAGCATTTGGAAAATAAAAACAAATAAAGTTGGTATATTGTTTTGGTTATGTCTCAAGTCTCTACAGCGATTCAGTCTTTGTTAATGATATTACGTTTGTGGTATTTCATTTGTCTGTTTTCCAACTGATGATATCTATTTACGTGTTTGACGTGGTGTTGATTACAAACACTTACGTTGGCACAAAGAACATTTGGAAGTGAAGGAGTGGCATCATTGCATAGCATATATGGCACCATATAAAAACCCGTTCAGCATTCCTTAGCTTTAACAGTACCTAGAAAAATATCAAATATGTCTGTAAAGAATTGTTCAACAATAAAATAAATTATTCAAAGCGTTTCTATTTAAGGTGTTTTTGTCTTTAGAAAAACGTCATCATTGTTCGTTGGGTCCTCACAAAACTACATTAAACATTTATTGTTTCCTCTCGTGAACAAACGACATTTTCACCAAGAACATTTCAGATGTAAGACGTACCTGAGGAAGATATGGGGAATAAGAGAAATTGTCAGGTGATGTTTGTCTTATAATCTTGCCATTTCCACCATAATTATCATGCATGTACATATTTCCTTCTGCATTCAGTTTGAAAATTGCTACAAAACTAAATTGATGGTAAAAAAGAAAAACGCAGCGCTTGGTTTGGTGAGAGTTTTATTTACGTGATTTGAAAGTTCTAATCTCTTTTTTTTGTAGAGAAGTAAAGAGAATTCTAATATATCGAGCGTTTTCTACCGGGCAACCTTTACCTTTCGATAGCGTTTAAGTTGCGATGAAAATCCTTTGAAAAATGGATTGCATACATAAGATTTGTTTTAAGAAAGAAGAGCAACACTAAATTCTGTTACAGGTGATATGGCTTGTTGCATTCATTGTCGTTTACCTGTCCTGCAACTCCGAGGAGCAACAAACGTTGACTGTGTTTCCATCTTCTTCGATTTACCTTACCAACACTTCGAACGCCTCCATTTTCCATGGAAACATAACAATTTCGGCAGGTGAGCATCACGTCACATTCACCGTCGACTCAATAGCGTTTTCCAGGCCCTTGGTCTTATACTCAGTGATTTGAAACATTTGAATTTCATTAAATGTTGTGAGAAAACATAATTCATGATCACAGTTCAGTAATAGGTGTTCTCGGCAAGTTAAAATATTTTTGCGGTATTCTTGTGTAAGTTGCTCGTATGTCAAAAAAAAAAAAAAAAAAAAAAAAAAAAAAAAAAAAAAAAACCAAACCGGTTTAACTTGAAGCAAAAGCTAGGGTTGTGGGAACTGATGCTAAAAGAAAAATCACAAACGATGAACTGAAGATGAAGAAATGCGAATTTTTTTTTTCTTTTTTTTTTTTCTTTTTTTCTTTTTGCAGTGAACGTGACAGTGAATGCAAGTTTTAGTATTAATCCAAACCGATCCAGTGCAGCAGTAATGAACACGAGCGCTTCTATAATTAGTAAAATAACGGGAGCCACAAAGACCGAAAACAGTAAGTGTATGTTTTGCTACCCACAGTTAAATGCAACAATGACAGTTGAAATGACAAGTCGAGGCCGAAGATTGAATACTTCACCACAGTTGTGAACTGCCGTCTTAGTGGGTAGCATTCCACCAGTCAAAAGTTTGTGCATATTTTTGTAAAAGTACACTAACAACTGCTCTGTCGAGTGAGACAGTGTGATTCCGAGGGAGGAAAAAGTAATACTGTTTCCAGGGGTATTATGCAGTCGTTAGATCATATTTTCAATAGCTAAATGAAAAGACCAGAGGACAATATAGAAACAAATCAAACATAGAATGACAAGTTCACATACAAGCGCCATGAATAGCGGAAACACTACAATGCTAGGAGTGTCAAGTCACCTTCACGCCTTTTTGAGTTACCAAGAAGTTGCGTTTTTTTCTCGAGGAACACCAATATATTGCCTTTAAGTGGCTGAGCATAGCGAACTCCTTACTGCAATGTTAAGATCTTTGATTTTCTGACATGTAAAATGGTCGCTTTGACAAGGAAGTGATTTACGTCTAAACATTGACACGAATTTAACAATTCTGATGAGTTCATCTCATGGAGATTCAAAGATGTCTTGTTTGTTGGTGGCACTCAGAAAGGCTGTGTTTGTTCTAAATAAAATCTCTTATCAGAAATATAATGTGCTGAAAAATCAACTTTATTATTGTCATGGAAGCAACGAATAAGTTAACAGGTGAGGGCAACTTTGTTCAGTGTTATCTCACACAAGGAAGACTCATTAGCTCATGATTTCGCTTCCCTTTTTGGAAGATACATACTTTGTGGAGTTCAAAACAGGAGCGTTGAAATGGAGTCCCGATCTTACCAATGAATATCACAATACCTTCATCAACAGTGCCAATGGAATTGTTAAGACCGTAAGTAAAAGTTTAACTGACCAATAACAAAACAAGTATATATTTTCGAAGATTAATCTTCTCTCATAATCATACTAAAGGTGTGTCCGTAGTGTGTCTGTAGCCTTTGTTCATTTTGACTTCTGTGTGTTTTTACTATAAATCTCTTAATAAGTTAACTATAGATATTTTATCTACTACTGTATTTAGTTTGTATATTCTCCCCTAATTGGTGTCCCCAAATTAGTAGGGGATTTGTTCCCTGGCTAGACGGTTTTTGACACTTTAATAAAGTTTCTACTACTACTACTACTACTACTACTACTACTACTACTCTACTACTACTACTACTACTACTAAAGTTTGACATGACAATCACTACGATAAGTGCGATGCAGAAACTTAAACAGAGTGCGCACGCAACATTAGACATGATGTTCAACTTAACAATGAAAATTAAAAATTGATTTGCAGAGAGGAAAATTCAACGATTATTTGGCGTAAAGTCCTGAAACTAAGATTANTTATTTATTTATTTATTTATTTATTTCAGTTGGTTATATTTATATAATGTGATTTATCCAACCTATAGCCGACTGCATTGTATCCTATGTGGACACTTCATTATGTGACTGCTTTTCCATGAGTTACAAGCGTCGAATGACATGTCGTCAGCCAGAGATACATGGTGGTGAGGACTGCCCTGAGCAATGCTATACTGGCCACCTGATCGCCGGCTACAAGTCATGTACTTGGGACGATTTAGACCAGTTTAAGTGTGCTCCAAGTAAAACAAAGGCCACTTATATTATTATCTCATTCGTATTTACCGCCTTACTCGATCACTTTTGCCAACTGATATAATCAACTTGCAAATGAAATAGTTATAAGTCACATGAATGATTTTGACGTCATAGCTTGGAAAAAATACTGAAGAGGAAAGCCTCCACTCATTCTTTTACATACGTAATAGGCCAAAGGCACGTTAATCGAGTGTTGTAAATTGCTCTCAAAAGGCATTTCGGGGCGATTATTTTTTGTCTGAATGATTTAGAATGAAAATGACCGTAAAAGTTCACAGAGGCAAAAATCCGCGTATAGCATTTACTACACAAGTTTCATTTTGTCTGTGAACATGGTTTCAGTTTCCCGATGATGGCGAGACTGACCCTCTAGAACTGGTATTTCAAACATTATTGGTTTGCTTTGGTTTGCTTACCATTGACGTCGTTGAGAAACAACCGACGTTCGCATCACGACCCCTTGTCAAAAACACAGCGGCACAAATGAGTGAAATGTCGGCTGTGAACAATACCAGTAATAAAAATTTGCTGATCTTCTGTCAAGGGTCGACGAAGACCATCCAGTCGCTTAACAGCTTCCCTGGTCCTGTTGGCCTCATGCACAGCTACACTCTTTTAGAGGACCAGATGTCACTTGCTTTTGTCGCAAGCTGTGGACTCCCACCTGTCAAGATTGAAGTCAGGCCTTCAAAGATTCCTTCAGAGTGTCCTTGCAGCGTTCCTCTCGACCTCCCTCGAAGCGCTTGGCCTACAGTAGCTCACCATAGAACTTATAGTGATGCACTAAATAGTGCTACAATCCAGCTCCTCGGTAGCTTTTAAAACAACCTCTTATGCTCAATTCTTAAGACAGCAAGTCAAACAGTGGGCCCCAGTGAAACATGAACTGATGAGGTATCTTCAGGTTGAAGGAAAACTTTTAAAAAGATCCAGAATCCTGTGCAGTGGATTTGCAGAGTATGAACATGCAAAGGATGTTGAAAGAAGAGCTTGATTGTCACGAGACCGTGAAAAGGCTATGACACATCAGTCGAACAAATTGCAGTCATCAAACAGTTAATGGAACCGTACATCGCTTATGACTCCGAGAATCACTATGGGTCAGCTGTGTTACAAATTGTTACAAACCTGAACTTCAGGTAGTAGCGTTGGAGTTGTGGAGCTCGAGGAGGATAAATCTGTATCTGAATAGTGTCAGGATACCGGGGAGATTCAAGAGCAGTTATTGGACTCAGTAGGTCGCAGATAGATAAATAGATAGATAATTTGGATATATCAACAAAGTTGAAGTGGTAAATTGGCCACCGTAACGATTACAAAAGCTGACGTTTCGAGCGTTAGCCCTTCGTCGATATAGTTTATTAATAACCGATTTGCAACCAAAAGTTGAATTATACGATTATTTACAAGTTTCAAACATTGATAATTACGCAGTAAATGGTTCGAACCCGGGGGTAACATGTGAAGGTGTAGTCTGATCGTCCGGGTGAGTGGAGTCCTGAGAAGGACTGTTGTCGGTGGTAGTGACTGACGTTTCGACAACCTGTGCGGAAGTCATCATCAGAGTCAAGTGAAGTCTGAGTCATCACTTGACTCTGATGATGACTTCCGCACAGGTTGTCGAAAAGTCAGTCACTACCACCGACAACAGTCCTTCTCAGGACTCCACTCACCCGGACGATCAGACTACACCTTCACATTGATAATTACGTTAAATAGACTAAATGTATTAAAACAGCAATAAGGACACTAAATATATATTCTAAAAAAAAAGAAAAAAAAAGAAAACGGTTGTATAAAACCGTTCAAGCTTTAAGGGCATTGAAGGTAATAAAACTATTACGAAACCTGTTCGTCTTAAAAACTGGCTTAAACTTCCGCATATTTCTTAGGTTAAAGGTACATGTGCTGCGAGTAGAAAGAAGTTCATAGAGCTTGTTCTGTTCATTCTGTAAAACATTCTTAAATAGTTTATCAACTAGTTTCTGGCGGCGATCTGAAAGTTTAGTCAGGCCTGATTCAGCCACGGCCTCATTATATGAGCAAAGAGGAAAAATAATGCGCGTGGCCCGCTTTTGTATTTCTTCAAGTTCGTTCGAGAGGTACACGGGGAGGCCGTCATGGAAGACAGGACATGCATACTCTGTAATCGGACGAATACAAGTGCAGAAAAACTGGACTAACTCACGGGTACCAAGA